GAGGACAGAATCTTGCCCTTTCCTGTACACTCTGGCAAAAGCAAACTGCTGCAGCACCTCCTACTGCTGTGCTCTTCCTCACTTAAAACTTTTGCCATCTTGGCCTTTGTAAGGTGAAACATAGACAAGATTGGGAACCACTAATAAACTATTAAAAACAAGAATAGGGTCCAACTTTTACTACAGGGTTGACTTAAAATACTAGACCTATGATGTATTATAATCATGGCATTACTTAATTGTTTTTTCTTGCTTGCTTCCTCCTCCCATATGTAGAAAATTAACTGCTGGATAAGACAAATTCTGCCAAGAAAATAAGAAAACATGGGTAATGAAGGTTGGGCTATGTTATGTGTAATTTGATTTTGTTTAATGTTTGTCAATTTGTTGTTGTTTTTATTGCTTGTTAATTTGGACTTATATTGTCTCATGTTTTTATTGGTTACTGTTTATTGTCTGTCAGGTTATGTCATGTTGCAGTTGTTAAATTTTGTATATCTGTTAATAAAATTTAATTAAAAAATAACTTCTGCCATCTTGGCTATGTAAGTCCTGGTTTTCATCTATGAAATACTGGAGAGTACACAGTACTGGTCTTCACCAGCTGCACTGAGGGCACTCACATGCAGCAGAGAAAGCCATGTGGCCTTTTCTTAGAGGGAACCAGAGTTTGGCTTCTGGAATTCTCCATGGCACTTTTCAGTGCATCAGGATCACTCATGTTGCGAGATGGGTATTTTAGGAGTTCACCCAGTTGTCTCTAGAGAGCTATACCAGACCATGTTTCATGACATCATAGCTGAGTCTTTCCTGCCATCCCTACTTCAGATTTCAATCTGGAGTGAATCCTCCCTGAACCAGCATGGTCTCACTGTTAGCATATTGGATGATGCAAGACTAAGGAGAGTCAGGTTCAAATTTCCACTGAGTCTTGGAACCACTAGTAGGCCTTGGATCAGCCAGCCACTCTCTCTGAGCCTGAAACATTTCATGGATTTATTGTGCAAATAAAATGGGGAGGAAAAAAACCATGTATGCCACATTGAGCTCACTGGAGAAAAAATGGGGGATAAATGTTGTCACTTTGCCTACTCTCAAGTACCTGAGACCCCACAAGGAAGGCTGCCCTCTCACACTTTAAGCCAGGCAACCTTTCCCCTTTAAGGGCCGAGGGACTTCAGCTCCCAGAAGCCTCAGCCATGTTGGCTAATAGTCCCATGTTGGCTAATAGCTCCTGGATTCTGGGAGCTGAAGTCCCTCGGCCCTTAAAGGGGAAAGCTTGCCTACCCCTGCTTTAAGCCAACATTTACAGCCAAAATGTCTTAACTGCTTCTCAGTTAAGACATTTACTTTTCAATGAAAGATGAGATTTTCATGATACCAACTCCTCTGCCATTCTACTCTAAAGTCTACATTTGTAGAAGAATGGACACATTGCTGCTTTTGCCCTCTTGCTCCTACTGAACAGCAGAAGCTTCAGCCACAGACCTTGGTTAGGGCCTCATCTGAGCACCTGGCCTGCTCCCTTACTTTATACAAGATCTTGTCTCTTGCTAGTACCCACCATCTCCTGACATGTCTCCATTTTGCAGTTTCTCTTTGGCAGCTGCCCTCAGAGCTCTCTTGGGTGGGACAGGAGCCAACTCAAGTCTGGACCCAAGGCTACTTCTCCCTGTAAAGAATTCATTAAGTCAGATTCAGAAAGAGTTCCCAGGTCCATTCAGGGACCTAAATCCAAGGCCTCAATAAACTTTCTCTGATGCACACTATTTGGGATTCCCGAAACAAGAAAGCTGAAAAGCAACCTCTCCAGGCCACAATACACAACTGTGGGTTGGTTTAGCATGGGAGAATCTTGATCTCAAGAGAGCTCTGGAAAGGAGCAGGAAAGAAGTGAGCTTGGTATGGCTTGAGGGATAAATTAAGGGTGATCTGTTCAGTTAAACGAAAGAGGTGGAGAAAGATGGAGATACCATGTTGGGATGGGCTGAGTGATGGCTGAAGGTGGGATAAAGATTGCTTAGTTGGCCAGTTCTCCAGCACCTTCATCGCAGAAGGCAAAGGAAAAAACTAGTTGAACCAGACTGGAAAATCCCACAATTATGTCTTTATCTGAATGCCCAGCAAGGCTGTATCAGCAAGTTAAGAGGTATATAAAAGTTCCTTAGAACAAACATGAATCAGAGATAGTATTAACTGCAAGTACCTCCAGCCCTCAGAGTGCTTTTACAGGAAGACATTTTTAGCTGGGCATGTGTCAAAGTTCTTATAACTGCAGTAGTAAATTACAAAAACACTTGAGGAGAGCACCTTGAGAATTCTGTGGCTCATAGGCAACAAGCAGACTTCATAGCCCTTTTTCATACCTTCATGCTTTCCCCGGGCCACCCAAGGCCCCAGCCCCCCTGCAATGTTTTTACTTTTTTTATAATCATTTTTTAAACATGAAGTACACAACAGTCCTGGAATCCTCCAGGAGCGTCAGATTTAATTTTGGAATCCCCCATAAGCAGATCCCTGCTATGTAAATCTAATACATATCTAGGAAGTCTCACCTGGAAACCACTTCCAGTTGTGATGTCCAGCTGATTCTGCAGCCAAAAATGATACATTGTGGCCTGCTGCAGGGGTGGAAAATTGGCCCCTACATCTGTCACAGTTGCTAAAACAGGGGTAGGCAACCTTTCCCCTTTAAGGGCCGAGGGAC